CCTTCCGATGAAATGTAGTGTCCCAAATACTCAACTTTTTGTTTCAAGATTTCACATTTACTAAGTTTGGCATATAGACAATGTTTTCTAAGAATTTGTAAAACTTGTTGCAAGTGTTGTAAATGCTCTTCTCTGGTATTACCAATATTTCAGGGTTCAAAGTTTAGTCATCACAATTACAATTTATTTTTTCTATAGTATATAGTGTTCATAAGTTAGGATTATCAAAGAGAATAAGTTTATTTAAAAATATGCAAAGATAAGTTGTTTAATAATACTGTAGCAAGAAAATAAAAAGATTAAAGGAAAAGTATATCAGATAATTTTTTGATAATTTTTTAAAAAGGAATAAAAAATAAGGATGTAAATTATGATATAAAGATTTTAAGTTAATATTTACAGTATAATAAAAATTTGAATTATTATTCATCTGAATTATTTGTAGTCTCTTAGTTTTAAATAAAATCCTCTTAATTACACTCAGTAGGCTTGGCATTAGAAACTCTTTGCTTCTTTTTCAATGTTTTTATGGAAGTAGGTAGCTTTGGTGTTGTTATAGAAGTAGGTAACCAGTCCTGTTGATATTGATCATAATCATTTCTCCTGAATCCAGCATTTTTAAATAATTGTGAAGATAGTGGTTTTGAATTTACAGTATTCAAGGTTCGTCTTACTACATTCTAATATTTGTAAACCTATATCAATTATAAACATATAAAATAAGTAATAAGCTTGACAAAAAATAATAGTCTAACCTCTATATTTAAAGCTGATGACAATATTGGTAAAATATTTGGAAATTTTTCTGGTGCATCTGGCACCTCCATTAACTCTCCACGTTGAAACCTACAGATATACCCTTTGGGTTATCTACATGCACAACCATCATCATCAAACCTATATTTAAGAATTATTAATTGTCAATAACAACTGATGAATCCTTGTTTACATGCAAATATAACATACCACTATGTACTACTCCCACTGCTTTTATTTCAGGGCACTTAACATTACCAACTTTTTTGATTAATTTTAACAACATGTCTTTTAGCATTTTGGGCAACTTAAGCCCTGCTTCTTGCATAAACTTAGCACCAAATTCATCTGTCCAATCCTTTCCAACCTCACCTGCTCCAAATTCATCTTTATTTCCATTGTTAATCGATCTGATTATAAAATCATTTCTACAACCAAGCTTCCTTCTCTCACCAAGTTTTCTTTTCTTGTTCTTTCTGGAAGCAGAAGCAATACTTGTACTCTCTCCCCTTGATTGTTAAAGGAAATTAAATTCCATTTTTTAAATAATAATGATAATGATAAATAATAATTACCTTACTACACACACTACATCTAAATCCCCAAATGCCTGATCAACTATAATATTCCTACATGAGAATTAAACCATGCCTCCAAATTTAAATTTTTGATATTACTATTTTCAATCTCTCTTACTCTGTAAAAATTTTTTTAGTTAGTTTTTTGTCAACAACACATGTACAATCAACAATGAAACACAATAAAAAGATTACTCAGAATCCATATAGTGCAAATAAAATATAATCCACATCATGATTCACATTAAGATCATAATTGCTTCCAAACTCAATTCTTTCAGAATCCCCCTAATTTCTTTTAGGTTTGTCTGCACAAAAGAAAAAGCTCAATAATTTCATTACCAATACACATACTTATATTAAGACCATTTTAAATGAAATATACTTTATTGATAAAACCACTCAAACATTAGTTACTTCTTCTGAAAGTTCGGATAATATTATAGGATTTTCACAAGACATCTCAAGGAGTTCTTCATTGGTAAAATGATTTTTTATTATTTTGTCATCAACACCTAATATGAATGAATGAATTGAATTAGAAACAAAATTGTGATTTAATAAATTTGTATTTCTAGCAATTGATTTTATAAGAATACTGACTGTTCAAATTCTAGATCTTGTCCTAATTTTAACAGTTCTTCTTCAATATATCGTCCAGAAGAAAGTCTCCACTAGGGTTTATATTCATGAATATCATAAGGGGGTCACACAGAGTCACACATTATTAAAATCAAGTATTTTTTGCTGTTTTAATAGTGTGTAACCCCCTTAATGATATTCATGATATTCATGAATAAAAACCCTAGTCTCCACATTCTTTCTTTTTTCATATTCTTAAATTTTTCTTCTATTTCTTGATGATTTGTTTGTTGTAGAGGAGGTGTCTATGTATATATAAATAAAACTTATGTTGATTTATCAAATATTAAAAACTGAAACCTACAAAAGAACTACCTTTATGCAGATTTCTTCACCATCATGATTTTCTTCATATTCATTGTCACTACTACACAAATGATTGTAATGTTAATATTAAACTAGAATGACACTGAGTGGTGTGATAACCACCATTCTTTTAATAAATGACACTTACCCATGAATAACATCTTCAATGTAATTTTGTTCTTGATTTCTTTTTCTTTTTGTTTTGGATTCAGTAGTCATTTTTTTTAAAAAACAAAAAATAAAATAATTGTTGATCAATTGACAAACATGTTAATTATTTATGTGATTGATTTTTTTTTTTTTTTGGAAAATAAATTATTTTCAAAGATGACAAAACACAGCTCTCCTAAAGAAGACATGTTAATAACTGACCAGAGGTACTCTTTTTTATTTGCATTGATGTATATATTTTTACTTTTATTTTATATAAATATTTTAATTGGAATCAAAAAACGGAGCAGATCTTGCTGGGTAATTATAAAGATTCTCATCAAGATGGTAAACAATTGGTATTTTGCTTTTTGTACTCATAATCAATAATAATATTATTATAATAATAAATACTTACAAGATGTCAAGGCAGCACATGACTTGAAAAAGAAACAATTTGAATACAGAACATTTTGATATGCAACATTTGATTATCAGAAGTTGGCAGGTGTTGAAGCACACATGCTGCCTTGAACACTTTACAGTCATTTTCTCATCTTCCTTGTGTACACAAGGCTAATCTGACTGAGTCACTCTCAATGATACAATGATGCAACAGAATTCCAGGGGAGGGGAGTTTGGCCCTGGAGTTTACTGAGACTGCATCAATCGTCAATGACATCCCACCTAATCTTCCTCACAGCACCCAGACCAGAAAAAGCTGAAAAGTTGCCTGCAATGATCCCACCTTTAGGATGGCTCTGTGACCAACATGTCACAACTCTGGAAGAATATTAAGAGAACCTGCAACTTGTTTCAAGTACAGGAGGTTGCAATTCAGAGCAGGGTTGGTAACCCTGAAATTGCATTTGGGCTCTGATGTCAAGAGGAAAGTTGTAAAATTGTAAACATTCAATGTTTAAAAGCGAAATAAGTAATTTAATTGTTGTAAAATTACAAAGTTATCTTTATTATCTTAAAAATGATGTCCTTTATATAATAAAATTACATAGATTGATATGATATAAATAAAATATAAATAATAATAAAAGATTGATAAAATATAAATAAAATAATCATAATAATTCTTATCAATCTATCCGGAAGATTTGTGGACATAGATAAATAGTAAATAATAAATAATAACTAAAGACACGAAATAATTGATGCTACAAATAATAATTAATTGTGTGTCACATTTCCAGATGTAAATATTATTGTACTACATAAGACGTTGTATATGATTACAAAGTAAATTGTTACATTCTCCCCTCCTTAAGATTTGACGTCCTCGTCAATTCAAATTCTTTGAGTTTCTCTTGAGCATTTGCCAAATTTTCCAAAGGTTCCCATGTTGCATCATAGAGAGGATAACCCAACCATTTAATTAAATATTGTGGTTTCTTTCTAATAATTCTTTTATCCAGAATTGTTTCTACTTCATATTCATTTTGGTTTGTCTCTGGAATATAAATTGCTGGTGGTGGTATTGGTCGTTGAAATTTGTCTGATTCTTTATAAGGTTTTAATAAAGAAATATGGAATACTGGATGGATTTTTAATTCAGGAGGCAATTCCAATTTATATGCAGTTTTAGAAATAACGGCTTTGATAATGTACGGTCCAATATATTTTGGAGCTAACTTCCTGGTAGGTCTATTTTTATCAATAGGATTGTTGATATTTCTAGTTGACAATAATACTTTATCTCCAACTTTAAATTCAACATGACGTCGATGATTATTTGCATATTGTGATTGTCGTTGTTGAGCTACTATTAATGTGTCTTTTGCAATGTTAATCATATTATTCCAATGTTCAATAAAATCATCAGTAGCTGCTACTTTCGTTGAACTTCCTGAAGCTAAAACTGTGGGTGTTATTGGGTGTTGTCCGCAATCTAACTCAAAAGGGGTAAATCCTGTGGAGGCCTGCTTGGAATTATTATACGCAAATTCAGCTGCTGGTAAATATTCGTCCCACTGATCCTGTTTGTATGTGACAAAGATTTGTAACATTTCCTCTAAAGTACGATTAATTCGTTCGGTCTGTCCATCCGTTTGGGGGTGGAATGCAGTTGACATTGCTAATTTTGTTCCCAACTGTTGAAATAATGCTTGCCAGAATTTACTTGTGAATTTGGCATCTCTGTCTGATACAATTACTTTTGGTAGTCCATGATTCTTAAAAATAGTTGTAAAGAATATTTTAGCAACTTCAGGTGCGGTTGCTGTAGTATGCATTGGTTCAAAATGTGCTCTTTTAGTAAGTCTATCTACAAATACTACTATTGCGTCATGTTCTTTTTTTGTTGTGGGTAGTTGTACAATGAAATCCATTGTAATCTGTTCCCAGCGATTACTAGGAATATCCAATGGTTGTAAGAGTCCTAATGGTTTCTGGTTATTACTTTTATTACGTTGACATTGATCACAACTACGTACATATTTCTTAACATCTTTACTTAATTTTGGCCAATAATAATTTCTACTAATTGTTGCATACGTTTTATCAATACCAAGGTGTCCTGCAATCTCTACATCATGGTGTTCTTGAAGTAACTGAGTTCAAAGTTGTTTATTGGATGGCACTGCTAATCGTGAACCTTCTTTTAAATATATTTTCCCATCTTTTAACTCAAAGTATTTTACACGGGTTTGTTGTTTTGGATCTTTGGTTTCTTTGTCATTTAGAACATTCCAAATAGGTGAAAAATAATTATCCTTTTGATATTCTTGTTGTAAAAATGAAACATCAGCTAATTTGGAAGAAATAATTGTCATGTTTGTAAGATGAATTTGTCGAGAAAGAGCATCAGCAACTACGTTAGTTTTCCCTGGACGGTATTTAACATCAAAGTCTGTTGCCTGAAGGACTTCTAACCATCTAGCTTGTCTCCGAGAAAGATTGGTTTGTGACTTAATGTATTCAAGTGAAGCATGGTCAGTAATAACTGTAAACCTTTGTCCTTCTAGATACGGTCTCCATAATTTAATGGCATGTACAATTGCAAGAAGTTCCTTTTCATGAACTGGATAATTAAGTTCAGCAGGTGAAAGTTTCCTAGATTCGTAAGCTACTGGTTGTTCACCCTTGCCTTGATCCTGGCTTAATACAGCGCCAATAGCAAAGTCAGATGCATCTGTTGTAACAGAAAAAGGTTTAGTAGGGTCAGGAAGAAGTAGTACAGGAGCAGAAGTTAATTGTTGTTTCAATTTGTTAAAAGCAGTTTCTTCTGTTAATTCCCATTTAAATGGTTGATCCTTTTGAAGTAGTGATGTAAGAGGTGATGCAATACTGGAAAAATTTTTGACAAACTTGCGATAATAGTTGGCAAGTCCCAAGAATGATCTAACTTCTGAAACATTTGTAGGTGCTGGCCAATCTTTAATAGCCGCTGTTTTTCTTGTGTCAACAGCAATTCCTTCAGCAGAAATATAATGACCCAAATATTCCACTTTACTTTGTAAAAATTCACATTTGCTAAGTTTCGCATATAATTTATGTTGTCTCAAAATTTTCAAAACTTGATGTAAATGTTGCAAGTGTTCTTCCTTTGTTTTACTATAAATCAAAATGTCATCTAGGTAGACAATTACAAATTGGTTCAATTGTTCCCTGAAAATGTCATTCATGAGTGTCATAAAGGTGGCAGGTGCGTTTGTAAGTCCAAATGGTAATACTGCAAATTCATAATGGCCATAACGTGTGCGAAATGCAGTTTTGTGAATATCTTCTTTCTTAATTCGAATTTGATGATACCCAGAATAAAGATCAATCTTTGTAAAGTAATTTGCACCAACAACTCTATCTATTAATTCGTCAATTCGAGGAAGAGGGTAACGGTTCTTAATAGTAACTTTTTTTAATTCTCTGTAATCAATGCAAAGACGGAGTGTTCCTTCCTTTTTATGTACAAAAAGTACTGGAGCACCAAAAGGAGAAGTACTTGGACGAATAAACCCTTTTTCAAGAAGATCAGCTAGTTGTCTTTTTAATTCATTCAATTCAGCATAAGACATTCGATAGATAGGGCGAGATGGAGGTTCAACACCTGGAAGTAACTCAATAGCATGGTCAATGTTCCGCTTAGGAGGTAGTTGGTTTGGTAGTGTTTCAGGAAAAATATCAGAGAATTTCTGGAGGATATCTTTGACTTCAGGTGCATAATTCTTAATAGGCGATCTATTATATCATCAAGGTTGGCAAGACAAATTGCAAAAACTTCATCACTGGCAGGCACTTTTGCTAATTGCTGTCATGAAATAAAAATAGAATTACAACTAGATTCCTTGTGTGTGTTTCTGGAATCAGCATCAACGATGATAGTCTTTGGTCCATATTGAAATTTCAATGTATTTGCT